TTTATTTTTTAGAATTAGGAATTAAAAATGAAACTGATTAATGCAACTCTATGGAATTAGATGACCCATTTATATGATTTGTAAAGCGATGAGAACTATTGAATTTATTATGATTATAATTTAAACCGAATAAGTATCTAATTATAGAAATAGATTCATTCAAAGTAATATGATATAATTGTAAAGTGTTATTGAGCCGTTATTGCAATAAATCTATACTGATCTCAACAGGATATAATATATTCGCTACACTATGAATAACCTTGAACTTTTGCAACCATTCTATTAAGGTTAAGTTAATAGACTTCACTTTATTCAGAAACCTCTAGTTAGTAGAATCATTATATAATCAAAACGTCTAATAAACCATTAAAATATCAAATCAATATAAATGATCCAACTATTCTAGTGGTTAGATATTCGAACCTTGATTTAATATATCAGTAAGGATAGTCCGAAGAATTGCAAAAACTAGTACGGATATGTCAGAGATAATAACTTTAGGATCCTTCAAATTAATAATAATTCCATTAAATGTACTAATTAAACCTCATTACTCCCCTGTATCGAAGTTTTTAATGCCTGTTATTAGTACCTATTAAAATCATTGAGAAGCTCTCGTAATCTTCCTCTCCCTCTGCTTACTCTTAACCATAACTCCATATCTGAGACAATGAATGAGTTACAGTTAAAAATGCATTTACTTTGTTTCAACCTTCCCCTCTCCCTCAAATACTCCTACTCTTTCCTCTCAATTTCTCAATAAACCAATTCTGGAATTAAATTGTCTCCCTAGTTCCTTTCTCACTCTTGATTCAAAAAGTTCACGATACGGCAAACCTTGTACAAAGTGTTTTGACCCTATCTGTGAGATATTAAAATTTCAAAAATCCTTGTTAGAATCCCAGTCTAAAAAGTAGTGGTAAATGGGAAAATATAACCACTCTCCAGCAGTCAAATCACTGCAAACAATTTTAACAAGGTCTACTCACTTTTCGTTCAAACGATGTTTCATCAATTTTAATTCGATTGCAACTAACCTTTCTCTGCGGGAGAATCTGAGGAAAAAGAAACGTCTCGAGCAGTAAAAAAAGAAAAAAAATACGACGAAAAACGAACGTTGTACAGAATATTCTGTGGATAGCACAATTAATTGCAAATATTGGCGGGTAAAAATAATGATAGCATTCCAAAAATAACTTCTCAAGGGAGAGAGCGTTACTACATCAATCATTAATTAAAGTTGCTGATTCTATGATGTATTGAAGGTTTTCGTTCAAATGATCCCATAATTAGGGTGGCTGAGCTTTTCGGATCATTGAAGGAGCGTTAGCTCCCTAAAGAAGGAATATGATAAACAGAGGAATCAGTTTAAAATATCGAATTAAACATTGGGGTTCGAAGATTTCAATTGAAGTAGTAAATGATTGTTTGTTCAAGATCTTGGTGAGCACCGAGAAGAGTATCGTATTTCCTAAAATTGAATTATGGAAACAACTGATATAGGAAATCACTTCTCCGTAAGTAACGTGATGTATGGAAAAATCAAAAACAGTAAGGCGAATTGAACCTAAATTTAGAAGTAAATTTTGGTATCCCTTCGATGAATATAGAAATTCAGATCTGGTTGCTTTCGGATCTTACCGATTTGCTGCCCTAGTAAGCAAGATGTTGGAAAATAGTTCTTTGATATGTTTTTGTGATATACTTTCCTTAAGTGGAAGACTGTCAATTAAAATCCCTAATTCAGGCAATTGGACAGAAGACGAAGATAGTTTTGTAAACAAAGTTCACTTCTGGACATTAATAAACGAAAGGTTGCAGTTCAAATGATATAATTTCGAACAAATGAGATTTCATTCGATGGTTTTTACGTACCCCAAAAAATGACTAAATTTGAAATTGAAATCGAATCATTGCTATATTTCTTCTGATTTGTTTATTAAACCATGAAGTTCTTGCACTATGGTGAGCCGTTCAATTGCTGAGACATTGGTCCAAGATCCACGTATTCATTATCTGGTGGTTCTAAGGTTTCTTCCAAGCTCATCGAATCTTCGGCTATTGTAACATCATTCCGACTATTTAAAATGTTGATAATTTTAGAATCAAAAACTTCATTGCTCCATGACTGCCAGTCGTCCTCACCTTGCAATAAAACACCAATTAACATTGAAGGATCCATGTCTGAGATATTTATTTTATCAAAGTTATCAGTATGACAAGTTTCAAGTAATGATTCAATAGTTGAAGGCTGCGGCTTGTGAGGATCAAAATATAACAAAGTGTCATCTTGGTAACCAAAAAAATACAGGGACGAAGAAGGTCTTCCTCCGGAGATTCCAACACTATATCTAGATTCCAATATTTTCCTAATATCTTTCAAATAATATTCGTTTACCTTGTCAACTCCCAATTTGACACCCATTAATAGCAATATATTACTATATCTTTTATTTTTGAAAATATCATTAATTTCATCTTTGAATATATCTGCTGAAGAGACAGAAACGATACAACGATCAATTCCACAATCAGGGAACTGTTCGACAAGACTTTGTATACTTCTTGAAGTAGCAGCCGGACCAAACCATTCCCCTGGTTTTTTCGAAGACAATTCACAACCTTTCTTAACGAAATTGTGCAAAGAGAAAGGTTCATCTGGTGTATCCATAAACCAACTAATGATTTTTCTCTCTTGTTCGTTTACATCACCGTCATTAACTCTAAATTCTCTACCCAATATTGCTATTTGAATAGCATTGGCCAATAAACTTTGACCTGTTCTAATCATACACCCCCATCCGATGTCTGTATTAAAACAATTTGGGTTATAAATAGCATTTTCAATAGCATTAAATGGATTGTCACCAATTAAAAAATTTATCCTTAAGGGTGACGGCCCATCATCGGATCTTGCAATCGGTATAAACTTGGTCCTATAAGTAAAATGAATCCTCGAAATCACATCAGATAAAAACCCAGGATGATAATCAAACTCTTCAACCTTATTGAAAAATTGCTGAAACATACCTATACTCCCACCAGCACTATTAGACCTCTTGTTAGCCAACTCGACAACTTTATCATCATCACTATCAATAGGATAATGAATCCCAAGAACCACATAATCATTAGAACTCAAACCATTGTCATCTTTGGACCTATCTAACCCAATTTCCTTCTGAGAAAGCTCCATCCTATTCTTATTCTTAACCAAATTCTATAAACTGAACCAAACCAAAAAAAAACCCAAAAAAAGGACAACCTCCAAATATAAAACTCTAGATGAACAACAAATCCACACAATTGTTGAACTAATTCACAAACTTTATCACCTAGATTTAACTTATTCTTTACCTATAATTCCCCTTTTATTGTGTCCTTTTAAACCTTTTTATGGGATGAGCCTTTTGATATACGATTTTTAAAATATCCATTTTACAAATTAAAGGCCTTAATAGCGAGAAGTAAGCGAATGTTGAGGATAATGAGAGGCCATCGCAAAGTGAAAAAATACAACATATTAATATAAGATATGGTTGTTGAAATAGTTGATTTTGGAGGGAGTTGAAGGTATTGAGTTGGATCAGAGTGGTCAGTTTGATACAGATTCATCTATCTAAGTTTTTTTTTGGTTTGGTTTGCCAAAGGTTTTAAAAAAATTTGGTAAATATGGCCAAGAGACATAAGCATTTTGAAGGTCGAGGAAGAGGTGGAAGTAGAGGTCGAGGAAGAGGTCGAGGTGGAAGTAGAGGTCGAGGCAGGGGTGGAAGTAGAAGCAGAGGTGCAGGTAGAGGTGGGTTTGGTAGATCTAGCAATGATGACAATTGGAGAAATTCTTCGATTCCATTTGGTGATGGTGATTTAGGGAATTTCAATTTTGCTGATATCGATGTTCCTAGAGGGAGAAGGGTTTATTATTCACCAGATGATATCGAAGATTATTATTTTGGTAAGAGTGAAAATATGGAATCCATGAAAATGGGTGGGTTGAGGCCAGGTCATAAGAGAGAGGATACTCCGAGATCATCTTCCTTTAGGGCAAGGCCGGTTCAATTTATAAAGGCAAAAGATGTTTATGACCCGTCTCATGATTTGATAATTAAACTGAGATCAAAGAATTTAGAGCAAGAGTCTCAGGATGAAGAGCTATCCCAAGGTGATGCCGAATCTGCAAGAGAAGATTTCGAATCTGGGACCGAGGAAGAAATAGAGGAGGAGGAAGAGGTATTGCCAGAAATCGAACGAGAGGAAGTTGAAGAGGAAGAAGTTGAACCTGAAGAAGTTGAAGAGGAAGAAGTTGAACCTGAAGAAGTTGACTCGGAAGACGCTGAATCGGAAGAAGTCGACGATAAAGATCTATTCTTTATCGATGAAGAAGGCTATAATGAAGATACACTACCGACTGTTCCATCGGTTTCCATAAGTGAAGATTCAACTGTAAAGAAACCTCAAAAGACAAACTTAGAATTTAATGACATTCTCACAGTCGGTAAAGTAGAAATTAATCTAGCACATGATGCTTCTGATGACGGAGTTTTTGTATCCAACGTCAAGAAAAATTATCATCCATTCAGCGGATATATATCACAAGTTATGAAGAATATTCAAGTGTCAGATGAAGATGACGATGAAGATGACTATGAAGACGAAGAAGAAGATTTTCAATCTGATTTTAGTTACAAGTACGAGCAACAAACAACTAGCAAGGCTATTTCTGCTGATATAGAAAAACTATCAATATCGTCTGAAAATTTAAAGAATAGCAGTGATATCTCAAGGGATAACTCTCCTGACAATAATGAAGAACAAGAAAGTAAAGATCCTGAATTTGGATTTTTAGAAGAAGATTTCGTTATAAACACTTCTGAAGTTTCTGTGACAAATATAAGAATTGGGTTTTCTGAAAACTCGTACTTCTTAAAATGTTATAGATTATTTGGGCATTACGAATCTAAATGGATTGACCAGGAAACATTTCTGGATTTAATTTTAAATGATCTCGGCTTACCAGAACATAGACTTAATGCATATTTAACATTTATTAGAGATTCGCTTATACCGAAGGAGGAGCCACCAGAGCCTACTTATTCAGATATACATTTCTCAGATACCAGTGAGGAAGAAAGTGACAATGATAGCGAAATTGGTGATGATATGAGAGAAGGGATTGAAGACTTGATTTCATATGCTACAAAGTTAGAGAAGGACAGAAACTTTGAATTCGAAACAAAATCATTACAAACTGTGGGTAAAGGTAAGAAGAAAAAGCTTTTGGTTCAGGAAGATATGCAATTGGATGGTGTTATTGCTAGTGAACTACAAGATAAATTCAGTACCAGACTAGATAATAAAGCGAAGAAAAGAAGAACGAAAGAAGATTTTATTGATCAAGAGAATGAGAAATCAGATGACTTATTCAAAAAATATCCTTATGGTTTACATGTGTTAAATATTAAGGAAGAATTTGAGCTGTTTATTAGGAGATCTGATAAGGAAGCTCTTGTATTCCCACCTTTGGATCCACATGGTAATAAAACAATTACAAAGTTTGCTAAATTTTATTTCATGAAGACTAATAAAAGGGGCCGTGGTAATCAAACACATATCTTTGTTCAAAAAGTAAAGGCCACACGATATAATGAACCGAATTATAATATCATTGATAATCTGACGCGTCAACGTCCTATCTTTATGAGGCACGATGTCAGCAAGCCAAGAAATGAATATCAAAGGACAGAAAGGGTTAAATTACCAAAGGGTAAATTCCACGTTAAAGAAGGTGAAGTAGTTGGTCAAGATGCTCCAGTCATTGATAGAAATAACATTGGTAGAATTCTATTAGAAAGACTTGGTTGGAGTGAAGGTGAAGGTCTTGGTATTCAAGGTAATAAAGGTATTAGCGAACCGGTGTTCGCTGTTGTTAAAAAGAGTAAGACAGGTTTACGTCACGAGAGGAAAAAAAGAATAGAGTGATTATCCATAATTGTTATTTTTTCTTATTTTCAGTCCTCCCCTCCCCCTCTTCCTATCAAATTTATATATATATATATATACTCTTTTTTCTTTTCTGAATATTTTGTCGTTTAAGTACCGAACACACTCTTCATAAATATAGACAAGTTAAGATACAGCAATGTTAGATCAAGAACGTTATGAAATCGAGGTGAAAATGTAGCCAGATTAATATATCGTTTTTAATATACATACATACCTTTTGACACATTTGTCATAATTATTCGTCAGTATCTTATTTCCGTCAAGATTTGGGAGAATTCTAATATCCATTGATAATTTGTCCTAATTAATTTCTTGTTCTTTACATATTGTAGAACAACAGAACCAGAGAGAATATATAATAAAGAAATTTCCGCGGAACTACGGAAGGACAAAAAAAATAACCCAAGAAATCACACTATTACTGTATATTTATCAAATTCTGGTGTCTTTATACTCTTCAAATTTGATGTAAAAGTTTACGCGTTTTGTCATAATTCTTGTGCCTCTACGAATACTTCTTTGCAGAAGAAGAAGAAATCCATTTCTTGTTCGGATGATCCCACTCACAAAAAAGAAAGGAATCATTAGAATGCTACGTATAATGTTACTTAAAGAAGCTGGAAAAAGGGGATGTTCACATGGACAGGTCCTGCGCAATTCCTCATATCAAAATTGAAAAAAATAAAATAAAAACGAAAACTTATTGTACTTTACCGCCAATGGAAGCAGCAAAAAGAGACGAGCTTCCTTTGAGAGCTCAACATTCCGTGCGCGTCTTTTATTATCCACAAAAACAAAAGTCAAGAGAGAGAGAAGGAAAGAAAAAAACACAAAAAAAGAAATGGGAAGCCGCGAAGCTGAAAGAAACTGAAGCAGCCTAAACGCGCTTTGAGACCGCCCGATCTCTGTATCTCACACATATATAAACCTTCTTTTTTGTTTCTTTTTCCATCAACTCTAACGCTCCGCTCTTAATTGATGTTACACAAAAAACCGAAAAGAAAACATTTTTAAAATTTATCTTTTGTGTAATTAATTTTCGCACTTTCAGTTTCTCGACCCGAATATGGAAATCCGGTCCTTGGTCGAACAAACTGAACACATCTGGAAAGAGAGATAAATCGCTTCATTTCAGGCAATGAATACATTACTTGTTACTACAAAATATATATACAACACATTTGTCTTTCCGTGCATTTTGTTCAATCCTCGGTTATAAATTAGTGGGAAAGATTGGTAATCCCATGATATATCCATGATAGACGTTGCACTGAGTTAACCTTTTTCACTTTTATCAAGCAATCATTTACGGAACTGGAACAGGCAGGAAAGATTTCATATTAATGAAATTTATGAAATTTATTGATTACACGAACTGAACAAGAGGTCCAAGTCCCGGAACTTGATGGAAATTGAGTATTGGTAAAAAAATAAAGATTAATAAAAATCAGCAGGAAGGAATATATATATGTACATACCTTTATCGAGATCTATGTGCAAAAGAGTGTTAGCTCTCTTTTAAACAAGAGTGAACCTCTCTTTGTAGTTAAGTTTCATCTCTTGTAGTCAGCTATTGACAATGCGATAGTTTCTCATTCTTTTGGGAAACTCATTAGTAATTGTACAAATGGTATTTCCATTTCATTAAACTATAGAGAGTAAGTGATTGATTAACTTAAAGATATTTGATAGTTGGTGTCCTCATTGCTTACTTTGACAAACGCGTAAAACAATAAGGCTACCTTGATGTAAAATATCTTGTACTTCTTGTAAATGGATGGTAATAATGTGGTGTTTTATTTATATTTTTTTGGAATTATTTATTTTCTTGCCTGCTCATACACACTCTCTCTTGTCTTTTATTCCTTTGTTCTAATGGACGTTTTCAATATTGTTCATCCATTTCATTTATTCAACTTGACGAATTTTCCATCTGATCCAGTTTTAGTTGATCTATCCTTCTCTTCAATTTGTCTTGGTATTTTGCTATTATGCTATTATTCCTATTATAATAATAGTTAGCATATAATAGCAGGTATAATAGTAGTAATTTTTTTTCCTTTCTTTTTCACCTATTGGTCTTCACTGTTCGAACTAGTTCATTCGTTGCAAGAGGTTTTTATATATAACATAAGCTTTAATATTTTCGATTACTTGCTATATCTATTTATTAGACTAATATTTTATCTGTATATATATATAAATTGGTTTATCAGTGCTTCTCTTTCTTTCTGAGCATTTTATATTTATCTGGGTTTCTAATTCAACGTCTTGTATCAAATTGCACTATCTATCGTTAATTACAGATAACAGTATAAGTTATAGATAAAACTACTATTGATCTAAAGAAGAAATGTTCAAAAGTTTACGTGGTAAGAAAAAAGTTGAGAAATTCGATGATTCAAAGTTAATTAAAATTGATATACCAATTGAAAATGTGCCAAGTGGTATCCAACCTCCAAAACCAAAAGAATTGACTAGTGAACAGAAGGAAAAATATTTAAAAGTTTTAAAGCATTTTAGTCAGCCTAATTTAAAAGTACCAAGTGTCGAAAAGAATCCTTCTGAAAAAGATTTTGCACCATTAACTGAATATGAAAAAGCTTGGCTATCAAGAGAATGTTTATTAAGATATTTGAGAGCTACTAAATGGGTCTTAAAAGATGCTATAGAAAGAATTACATTGTCTTTAGCTTGGAGAAGAGAATTTGGTATTAGCCATCTAGGTGGAGAAAATGGTGATAAAGTTACAATGGATTCAATTGGTATGGAAAATGAAAGTGGTAAACAAGTCATCTTAGGTTACGAAAATAATGCAAGACCAATCTTGTATTTGAAAGCAGGTAGACAGAATACCAAGACTTCCCATAGACAAGTCGAACATTTGGTTTATATGTTAGAAAGAGTTATTGATTTCATGCCTGATGGTCAAGATTCTTTGGCTTTATTGATTGATTTTAAAGAATACCCTGATGTTCCAAAAGTAGCAGGTAATAGTACTATCCCACCAATTGGTATTGGTAAAGAAGTTTTACATATTTTACAAACTCATTATCCTGAAAGATTAGGTAAAGCCTTGGTCACAAATATTCCATGGATAGCTTGGACTTTCTTAAAACTTATCCATCCTTTCATCGATTCAATGACTCGTGAGAAATTGGTGTTCGATGAACCATTCCCAAACTATGTTCCATTAGATCAATTAGATAAATTCAACGGTGGCTATCTGGATTTCAATTATAAGCATAAGGTCTATTGGCCTACTATGAATAAAATGGCAAAGGAAAAAAGATCACATTATTTGGCAAGATTCCAAAAATTCGGTGGTGTTGTTGGTTTAAGTGAATTAGATTTAAGAGGTACCAACGATACATTATCACGCCCTGTAGAATCAGTATAATAATATAACATAGTCATTTAATCATTCCAATTATATCATGTAACTAAAATGTCATTAATAAATCACTAAAATTAATCCCTTCCATTTTAAATGTAAATTACAAACTTCTCTGATAGATTTTTATCCTATATGAAGTTACATATATGTGTATATATGTATTTATAAATATATGTATATTTCTCATTTTTAGGTAAAAAAGTTAACTTTTTAAATTGTATACTGTACACCATGCTATATTAATTATTAATATTTCAATTATCTATACTCTTATGAATTACCTACATCGAATGGCTTGGCACATTTACGCTTTTCTGTAATACCTGTGTTTGGAGCTACCATTGTCTGCCAATCTAAAGCGTACATCAAATTTCCTGCACCATTATCACTCTTAGCAAACACTACACCTAAATCATTACGAGCTGTCGTTAAATAATAATTTGTACCATCACCTAAGGATAGAACTTGTGCTCTTATTATATCTCCTGGCTTAAAATTTTCTATTAATTTAACACGATCTCTTTCAGTTGCTCTAACATCTTGTGATCTTAGAATTCCTCTAAAAGGTTCACCAAAATCAGATGAAGTTTGGGCAACGGAAAACTTTGATGAACCAGAACCACCACCTGCTGCCACTACCCCATGTCCATTGCTTCCAACACCACTATCGATTGGTACAGGTTGATTCTCAACAGCTAATATTTCCAAGTTAGCCCTCTGTAACGATATTCTTGTTACTTTAGCAAGTACAATATCACCTTCTTTTGGTAAATTATTGGCAAATTCGTTATCTACTTGCTTGGTTTCTACATCTTTATAATTATGAATCACAGAAATTCTAACGAACTTAGTTTGTCTACCATTCATTTCTTTATCTTTACTTTCTTCTTGGTTATCATCATTTTGGAAGTGTTCTTCAATTTTAACATCTTGCTCAATTTTAACTTTACCAAGCAAAGACGCTGTAATTGCATTAATAGTAGTACTACCAACTTTATGTTCAACTAACATAGCACCTGGGCCACATATGAACTTGTAAACACTTTCTTTGTTTTCATCATCTTCCAATATAAACTCTGGTGCTATTAATTGACCAGGAACTACAAATTCTGGTATATCAACGGCTATCTTCATGATTTGCTAATATAACTAATGAAATTGAAACCAATACTAAATACAATACCTTGTAGCCCTCCCCAACTATAAATATAACAGTAATTTATGGTATATATTACTTCAACATTCATTATTCAAGTCAAATACTTCTTCATCTCATCAATTTTTATATACTAAATTTTTCACCACTTTCCATATTAAGTAAGGCCTTTAAATATGATAATAGAGATATAAGCCAAATGACAGAAAATATTGTCTGGCATTAAATGATTGTATAAAATGAATAATATAACTTCATATTACATACTTCGAGATTTAAATATTGATCTAATAATATATAAGAAAAGATTGGAATTACTTTTATTGGTGTGATTGCTTGTGTCTGTCTCTTTTAAAAAATTTCTTTATCTTATACCTATTAGGAATGCTGGAGACTTAAATTATTTACTATATCAATGTACTGATGGATTTATTAATTAATTGAATAATCTTTTTGTAAATGGTAAAAGATTTAATATCAATTATAATTGGAATTGAAAACAAATCCATTTAATAAAAATGTGTATAGCATCTTGAATCTTCATGAACGTCCATTTCACTTTTCAATTCATTTAATTCAATCTTGATCATTTGAGCCAGTTGAGGTGTCAATTGATTGCATGCTGCCAAATCTGGGTGTCTGTCGTACTCTTCTTCACTGTAGGTCTCATATAAAATAATTTTTGAAGAAAATTGCAACCTACATCTTGGTTTATTGGAATGATCTGTTATTGGAGTTACTACAGAAATAGTTGGTGATTTGTTACCTTCGATAGCAGAATAAGATGGGATGTTAAATGATGGGGCGTTTAATCCTCTGAACGACATTGAGATTGGTCTATTATTTTGAGCTTCTGGTAGATATGCATTTACTTTCCCATTAGAAGTGATATTGTTAAAATCTTCGTTTTCAAAGACATCTTCACTATCACTAATATCGACAGTGCTACTATATTGATAATTATCTAATTGGCTCTTTCCAATTGTGCTGGTTTTTAACGATTCGTCTATTATTTCACCATTATCTTCAATCGTTATAACAGGTTGATTTTTCTCAGCATTTTCTACTACTTCAATGTCCTCTACGACATTATTACCAATTGGTTCTTTATTTTCTACATCTAGATCCAAATCAAAATTAATATTTTCACCAAAATCGATAATATTAGCAAACTCCATTATATCAGACATTAGCTCATCATCTGCAATCGGCTCTCCTAATTTGACCTCCTTCTGACTTTCATAATCAATGCGTTCATTATCTGAGTCGATTGTTAAACTATCCAAATGCTCTTGAATAGATCCTAATGAAAAATTGCTCTCTATTGGATTAATTAATTGTGAACTACCTGATGTCATCCCATTCTCACTAAAATCGTCATCAAAATTGAGGAGATTTGGAGATGCATCGCCTGTTGAGAATCTTCCATTACGTAAAATACTGCTTGCTGGTGATTTCGTTAAATCTGGTGTTGATAGAACAACTGATGTGGCGTCGCTAATGAACATACCCTCGTTTTGAGCGTTGATGGATAATGCTTCACTCAATGATCTCCTATGGGTATGTGATTTTTTACTATTTGATTTAATTGAACGATTACGTTCTAGTGATACAATAGACTCTACCTCATGCGAATCCAGAGATTTAGGAAATAGTGAAACACCTGTATTTAAATTGTTTTGATATATCTTCTCTTTCTCTTCTAATGAATCATTCTCCTCACTAGAATAGCCTTCTTCCACACTATCTTCATCTGATGTCACAATTGTATGAATCTCCTTCTTCCCTTCAACATGACTATCCACAGGATTCTCTATGATTCTTCTTTCAAGTCCTAGAGGGGTAGGCTTCCTTTGTGATATTTTATTGCTCTCTTTTAATCGAACAGAGTTATCTGTATTGATGGAACTACTATCCTTTTTATTCAATATTACTCTTTGAGTAGGTTTTGGATCTTTATTCTTTCTGAAACTACTAAAGATGCTACTACTACTCTGTGATTTAGTTGTCAGTAACGTCGGTTCCATTCTTGACTTTGTAGAACCTACTGAAAAAGTGGTTGAAGTTGGCAATCCATCGTTAACATCCTGATCTTGTCTACTAGTTTTTCTCTTCAAAAATGAGAAAATGCTCTTTCTTTTAGAGCTCTGGGTTCCCTGACTTCTCATCGACCTCTCTGAGGAAATGCTTTGAGTTGAAATTGAGCGTGGTTTTGATTTTTGTTGCTGTAACTCAGGTTTGGGTTCTTGATTTTGCTTCATCTGTTGGTCCATTTGTCTCTTATTTGGTTGTTCTGGATCCTGGGGCTGTCTTGAATTACTCGTTGCGATTACATTTTTTTTGGCAAGCTTATCATCCATACTGCTTTGAGAAAATTCAGAATGTTCAACTTCAGAACTTGGAACTTCATTGATTTTTTCCCTTTCTATAAGTTTTCCTGTGTTCATTAAGTTCATAGATCCAATTATGGATTGATTTTTATTCTGAATAGCAGGATTTGGTGAACTTAAAAAATCTGGCTGCTCTGTCACTGATGAAACACTATATGTACTTAATGGAAATTTCTTATTTGAATCATAAATATCTATTAAATTAGGAGAGTCTGATGCCTGTGTGTTTAAGATATGTTTATTGAATATCACAGGTTTACCAATAACTGCTAATTGTTCTTTTGTTTGCTGAGATTCTTGAATTCCAGAGTTTATTTTAATTGAAGTTGGCTCCTTTGATAAAACATTCACTGTGTTTTCATCCTCTTCAGCTTCTTCGTTAAGGGCTTCTTCAATAGAATTGCTAACAATCATACTTGATCTCATCCTCCTATCAGCTTGTTTAGATTTTTCATTTAATATACCAGCTAAAGCACTTAAAGATGGTGAGGTTGTCATATTAATTGTCATTGTTTCATTATTCTCATCTTCAACTATAGCATCATTTTGTGAAATTTCTTGTATACTATCATCGTCATCTCTAATGAGTTCGTTGATATCATTTGGAAGTTCTTCTAAAATTAAAGAATTTCTAAAATTCTTAGCATGTTCAACAGTATCAATCGAATTTGAAGAATAGAAGGATGAATTCCACACATCTTGTGCTTCTTCACCGAATCCATTCATATTATAACGTATCAACTATTATTTAGTAAAAAAATTGACAACCTCTCTTCTAATTAAGTCTAAATGAATAACCTTAGCTCTAATGACAGCAATATTCTTTTTAGCTATCTAATTTTTTTACACTTAATCAAATATTAAATTAATTAATACTAATCAATAAAAATTGTTTATTGAAGCTTAGATTCACTCCAAAATGTCTAAATAAAGATATCACTAAGGCCCACAAATCTTAGGATACTTAATTGTTAAGATACATTTTTGAAATATCCTTCTACTGTTAACAGCAATTTTTCATATTTTTTCCTAATTAGGTATACATATCAACGCGTCAGGTTCGAAAATTTCGAAAATTGATGTAATTTTTAACATGATGTAATTTTTAACATAATGTGTATTTTGAACTGATCTATATCTTAACATGAGATGTTCACTATGTTCTTATGAAGGGTCCAATATAATTTTCAATAATGACGATTAGTGTATCTCGTCCCTATATGTGGTGGACAAATTAATTTCTCCAAGATTTTATAGAATTATATATAATGAATTAATTAATTGATATGTCCAAAATTTTAAAATTTATTACACTTGTTATTTCTATCTAAAGTATATCTATTTTTAACCAAAATCGTATGCTGACTTTGTATGTAAATACCCATCTAATGGCAGAATAATTCCTTATTATATGCTTCTAGTATAACCTAATTCTCTAATTCATATAGGTAACCAGAACATATACAAACTCTTGCATACATAGTTGGCCATCTTTTAGTTTGAATTGATGTTGGGATAATAGTTTTATCACCGGAAATTGCATAACCTGCTCTGGTAATACAACCACATCTGCAACATCTTTTTAATGTACCATTATTTAATTCTTCTTTTGTAAAAGTATCATAAGATATACCATCACAATTTAATTTAGAAAATGATTTTGAGCCCTTGAAATGTTCTGGAAGTCTCGATGAATCTACCACTAAACCCTCTTCTAAAGGCTGGAGTATTTCAATTATTGAATTGTCAAATAATTCTTCTTTAGATATTCCTAAACCGCTAGTATCTGTGAAATATACAAATGCTGGATCAATATGAGATAAAATAGTACTTTTTGTACATGTTAATATAAAGTCACATATTTTTGTGTACTCTGGAGGTATTTCTGCTTTGACCAACAATGACGGTTCACGTTTTGTGGATGGTTCCTGTTCATTTAGAGATGAAAATTTATTATTGATATCTATCATAAAAGTTTCGAATCTTTCAAAACTAACAGGAGATTCATTTAAAATCATTTTTAAAAAAGCAGATGATTCGTTAAGAACTGGGAATGTGTTTTCTGGAAATTTCGTTATCAATTGTGTAACTCGTTTTATTTCAGTTAATATCGATAAGATTAAAGCTCGAGGAATTCTTGCCCCTAAAACACCATAGACCAGCTTACTATCATTTATTCCAGGATTGTTGATTAAAATCAGCAAATCTTGTACAAGACATGTAACAAATTTTACGATCCACTTAGCAATTGGAATTAATGAATGCACGAGATCTTGTTTTGTAAAAGCAGTTTGAAAAAGCTTTCCATTAGTCAATTGAGCTGCATTAGATCCACTTAATTGTTCGATTGCAAACTGTAAATTACGTGCAACACCATTTAATGCAAAATATACGTTTCTTAAACTCATTACGACACGGGCCATCTCATATATATTTTCATTTTTAAAGCTACTTCCCAATTCCAACTGTAATAACATAGCTTTTTGTACAGGTCTACTGGATATCATTTTGTCTAAAATCTCAGTTGGAGCATCTGGAGTGATATTAAAGAATGAATAAATACACGATATTAATGAAGTGATAAAAGATTTTCCCCTTTCGGGATTATCTTTGGAAATGTTCATTAAGTGTGTCTTACATGCAATTGACAGATCTTCTGCTGACAATTGTCTATGGATCCCGGCAACAAACCCAAAAGCGAATGATGTACTATTAACTGAATCATTCTTTTCATTGGAACTGTCAGTTTGATAGACTGTTAAAAATTTTGGTTCATCTTTTCCAACTAACTTTACTATGACACCAGTCATTGCTGGAGAAACTGTTGCCCATTCTACAATGCTCCATGTGGGTAACTTAGGGAAAGTGAATCCCGCACTTAGTACTGAAGTTAATATATCTCTAAATTTACCTTGTCTATTTTGATTTTGTAATCTTTCATTTTCAAGACTCCAATCACTTTGATTATAAGTCTGAATTGATCCATCCTGCAGGTAAAACGTAATAAACCCATCAATTATTTCGGTAGATACTTGACGAATTCTTTGATTAAATAATAAATCTCCAGAAAACTTTAGAGTGTATCTTTGAGGTGGATTCAGAGCTTTCTCACCTAAACTTGTTAATTCTGGATTAAGAACTAACAGATAATTTGGATCCAGTTTTATTGGGTTCAATCTATATCTTTTCACAACAGAACTATTAGTACCAGCAACATTGTATATCAATAGTATTTCAGGTGCTGTGTCCTTTTCAACAGGTGATTTGGATAAAACTTGAAGGTTTACAAATTCAAGTACCTTTCCCTCTTCATCAACTCTATCTAAATTAATTTCATAAATATGTGAAATGGTCAAAGATGGATCGTTTAGTTGGTTGTGATTAGTGGTATTAACATTCCAGTTAACATGCAATTTATGAAAAGACAATCTGTTTGCAATTTTAGAGTAGCAAGATAGTAATAAATATTGTTCTTCATTAATAGGAGTAATCTTGGAAAATTCTAGCCAATCCAGTTCTTTTGATTGATTTTTTTGTATGTTATTCAATTGTAATGTTATCTTCTTATGATTTTTTGAATTAGAAAATTGATACCAAAAATCAATTTGACCATTTTTACGAATTGCCAAACATGCATATTTCATAAAAGGTGGATGAAATACACCATATGGAGGAATTTGTTGCACTTTATTTCTATATGTGTTAATAGTACTATCTAGAACACAAAATTGTGAAGAAATGACGGCTTTTGAAGAACTTAACCAAAAAAAATCAGAAATAGCTGTTTGATATTCTTTTTTAGTTCTCTTTTTTTCAATCTTGAGTACACTATTTACAGATTCATCCAATTGTATCAATTTGTTATGGATCTTATATACGTTATCTTGAAATAACATTGTTAATTTATCCATCGTCACAGGTCCATTTGGGCTTTGTCCCAATATAAGCATTGTCATATTACCTAATTCATCACAAACGGCTAACATATCACCTGGTAAATTAAACCAATTGTTCCAGTAGACTGATTTAATATCGTAAAAGAAATAATTTGTTGTCTTGGAAACATTAGGAATTCCTACATTTGGTGTACCAACTGGACCTATAGAATTCCTTTTATTACTACCGTTAACATTGCCAGGTGTCTCTGAGCTGGGGGATTCATGTAAATGAGGATGTATTATATATCTCTTAGGAGGGTGAAATCTCCAATTAGTACCATTAATAGTCTCCAGAAATGTAATACATAAATTACCGTCTTGAGAAGTACTATCAGCATAAGCAATTAAGCCAGTTTTTGACCAAGAAACTAAATTCTCACCCGTAGCAGCCATTGTCCCTTCCAATTATAGTACTTATATCTACGTCTATATTTTATCTTTACGCTGTTTGTTAATTATATTGAATCGTGCAAGATCCCTACCAAATCAACGTAACCTCACCAATTCTAAACCTTTTACACTGAAAAAAAGAGAAACCTAAAATTAAACTAACAATTAGGACCAAATCGACGTTCAATAGTACTCAATACTCCTTATACTTGCCAATTCTCAGCTATTTCTTCATTTACTTTTTATATTGAAAGTTTCAATTTAAAGGTTTTTTTAATTTTAAAACTTCTTTCTTTAGCCTAGAACGAAAAAAAAATTAATAGTGTGGATATTTTAAATATTAAGTAGTAAGAAGATCAGAGACAGTAAGTAGTAGAAGTATGTTATTTTTAATTATCTAAGAATTTTTAAAGGTAAATTGATATATACATAGGTGAATTTATTCTAATTGAGTGATTTCTTATGTTTCTTCCGATAAATTATCGGATAATTCAAAATCTGGACTGTTGATATCATAATTAACATCTTCCTCAGGTTCGTAACTTGACAAGAAACCTTTGTTTTGAGTCTCGACCAGTCTCAAATAGAAGCTTAGGCAGGATAACATCCAAAAGTATACCATAAAGGCACCAGCTATTGCTACTAGACTGTAGGCACTGTGGTCTGCATGTAATCTTAATACTAGGATTAATTGTTCTTCGTTAGCACCCATGAACAACACACCGGCGCAAACTAGACAGAAAGGAGGTAAGTATTGGAACGAATGGATTGTCTCTAATGTCCTTTGATCTTTTAAGAGGAATGAAATTTCAACTATACGTAAACTACCACCTGCCATTAAAACTAAACCGAATAGATAATGAACTTTTGTGCTGATAATTAAATGTTGGGTATGTTCTGACATTGCCCAACCTGTAAAGATGATTAATAAACTTGGAACAAATGTTCTTCTACCACCTCTTGATAAAAAAATACCAAGGATACCACCTGCCCACCAAATGATACCCATTGCGGTGTGTTGGTAATCACCATGATTCCAACCTTCACGTCCCCATCTGTGTTCGGTGAAAGTGTTAACAATACCCCAGATACACATAATCCAACTATCAATGTAATCTTGAGAATATGGACCTTTATTGTTTCTAATCCATGGAATGACAAGTACCATGGCATAAATAAAACCATACAATACAAATGCAGAACCCATAACACCATGAGCGATACATTGACCAGTATGTGATTCTCTACAGAAACCAAATAAAGCTACAGGAGCCAGGCAGACCTTAACCCAACCATTAACAACTACTAAGAATGATAATCCACTATGTAGATATTTTATCTTAGTTTCACCAGTTTTTGAAACAAAAGTTTGCAATTTCTTATTCTTTAATAATACACCAGTACCGCTATGAAGACATCCAAAGAAAACAGAACTCCATAGTAAAATCAAGATAGTCCATGCAGTACCTCTTGATACTCTATTTTCAACACCATCATTATCAGCAAATCTAAACAATAATGCTTCAAAAATTGCATAAATACCACTGATAGTTTGCAAGAATACTGATGAATTAACCTTATTAGCAAATGAAAAGCAAGCAGCCAAAGATGGAACTAACAATAAAAATAAAACCGTAGACAACCAATGGAAGGTTCTAGATCCTGCATTAACTATATCAGGTCTGGTATAATCATCCAAATTATCCATACCTGCCATATGTGACATTTCATCACCCTTAGCAAAACATCCTAGTGTAAGCAGACAGGCACATATTAAAAAAATTCGTCTATTCATCACCAACACAGAACTTGGCAATATATATTTATTTCAGGTACCTATAACGTGAACATCAACAACAAACTACAGGAATCTTTGAATATCTAAGTTTTAATCATTTTTAATCATCTTGCTTTATACCGTTTCATTTATCGGATGTAGCTCAGTTTCATTTTTTGCTATTTAACCATAACGAAATAAAGGAGTGTTACAGTTATTTAAGGAAATGTGTCATATAGAGTATACCATTGAGTTACAAGGCATGATTTGATAAATTATTCAGGTAAATAACACTACAAGTTGGATATTAATTTCTTGCTTGTGATTTTATGTATACTTATTAGATATATCTACGTGGGTGTACAGATCTTGAGAAGATAATTGAATTGAAAAAGTTGAGTTAAAGAGGAAATAGAACACGAATTGGTCCTCAATGAATGTAGAGATAAGAATTGGTATAAAATATAGGGCTCTGTTTGTTAAACTTAATACACTTATCGAGTATTTGATGATTCAAGAGAAATAACATAAAGAGAGAATTAAAAAAAAAAAAGAAAAAAAAATAAATACGTGAGTAGTTTACCTATTATTATTATTGTTGTTGTAGGGGTTATGTGTTATTTATAAATGGAATAATGCCTTCTTTTTAAATATTATTAAGTTTATCTTATTTTTAAGATTTATCATCTGCTTTAGTTGTTGGATCTGGTGTATCAGATAATACATCATCGATGGAATTTTCTGGCGGATTTAGTGGTACTCTATCTTCATCCGAAAGATCGAATTCAAAATCATCAATATTATCTTCATTTAATGTGTGATCATTGACAATGTTAGAATCAAAGGTTTCATCGTAGTCAGAATCGCTGTCGATAATATCGAATTCATAAGTCTCAGCTCTTGATCTTCTGATTCTTCTTCTTGATTTTTGGAAAAATATGAAATATAATACCAACAATATGGAACCAAAAGTAAAAATTGTTAGCAGGTAATGCATAGCACTCTTTGGATTATCGATCCTATTTGGCGTATTAACATCGTCATGTACTTCAGCACTCATTGTGGTATCCTCAGTAGGTTGAGCACTAATCGTCGTAGACGTTTCACTTGGAACCACAGACGACGACGTAGATACTTCTTCAGCAGTAGTAGTTTCAACTAACGATGTCGATACTGGTGCGTTAGTAGAACTGGTTTCACTGATTTTGTTACTCGTTGATGTCACAATTTCAGATTCAACAGTTGAAGAAATTGTTGGACTAGCTTTGTTTTCAGTGGTAGATTCTGGTTCTTTATCGTTGCCATAAATAAATTTAACAGCCTTCGATTTATCTATGCTTTCACCAAAAAACTTTAATCTCCAGTCTTTCAATGTGACTGTATTACCATCCCTTGTAGGCCTTAATTGTAACTTCCATTCACCTACACCAGATTCCCCCCAGTGTGCCACAGACATAAATGTCCAATCTTTGAACCCGTCCGAAGAAACATCTAATCTACGTTCAACGCCTAACTTAGACACCATACCAGATGGAGAAATCAATTCGACTGTTGAGAAACCTCTTTGGTCAGTATCAATATTTACTCTACTGGTACATGTTCTAGTCTTTTTAAGTTAACATTTTTTAAATTGGGCTTCAGTTATTGTAATAGATGAATCCATTACAGGGTCTGAAGAAATTTGTAAAAAAATTTACCCTCTTCCAATGAAATGAAATACCCAGGTTGGGGGGGTTAACGGTTTTCCATGCCTTTTGCCATTGGGGCAATCCCCTATGAATCTTATTTTCCCCTAACCCTAACGGGTGAAAAATTCTTTTGTTAAAAGCCCCATCTGTCCATTCCCCAATCCCCTTATTCCATTTCGGGGGGAGCCTAAAAGGGAAAAA